GGATCACATTCAGTTATCTTAATTAGGCTTATTTGGAATACAGAAAAAACTCGTGGTTGATCCATGCTCTAAATGGGGTGATGAACCATACAGGAAATAAACAACTCAATTCCTCAAAACCTTCCCCATGGATATTCGTCAATAATTAAATATCCATGGGGAAGGTTTTGAGGAATTGAGGAATATTTGATTACAACTGCGAATAAAAAATTCTCTGGGGTCAAGGCTTCCCCGGAATATCTACGCCCAACAAATCACGCGAGCAAGTAAATTCGCCTCCGAAACGATACACCTCCAGCATATTCGCCCCCGGACGAATGGCCCTTAAAAGATTCATGCCGGAAAGTTTTTTACACAAACAATTTTTAAGGCTATCTACACATTTTTGTAGTTCTTAAAAAACGCTAATAAAAATTCACTTCCACTTCAATTATTACTAAGGTATGCAAGAGTAATTTTGATAGTAGTGACGTTACCTTTCGGAAGGAAGGGAGTTTTCTTGAGACCTAAAATCCTGGAGGCGGTTTTTTTTTACTTCTTCTTTACTTTATTTACCAAATCATCGATACTGTTAATGAGATTAAATGGGTTAAACCATGTATACAAAAATTGGGAACGCTCTTGTAGTCCTCCAGTTTGAAATACAAAGCATCCCTTTTTTTACTTGTTTATTTAATTAATCAATTGCTATAAAACCTACGGTGATCGGGTTTATCATATTGTTTTGTTATCAAAAGAAGTTACTAAATACGGATTTCAAAAAGATCGGATGAATTTTACTTGGTAATAACAAACTGTTAATTTTAGAGATTAATTTTTTACATTTTGCCATAAAAAACAGTAACAGTTGAAAATGAGCGTTCCGGACCAACTGTATCTTATATAAAATTTTTTTTCTCCAACCACCTGAATAAGACGCTATTTTGTGACAGTGTTCGATACGTAAAATTGACGTTTTGCGGATTAAACGCTTTCACCATGGCAACTGTACAAAAAGTAGATACTTTTGGCAACGAAAGGGCGGACGAATTGGCTCGCGAAGGCAGTGGTGGAGTCTTTGTCGGGCCCGAGCCTACCCTAGGGATTGCTCCCTCCGTTGTTAGGGCCAGGATTAAAGATTGGTTGACCAGTCAATTCCAGGCTCAGTGGCAACAAGTAACCGGACTCCGACAGTCCAAGGCCTTTCTAACAGGGCCGCGTTGGCAAATCGGGGTCTTCTAAGCTTCTAAAACTGAATAGAAGCCAGCTTAGGAAGATCACTGGTGTCCTTACGGGACACTGGATGGTCAACTATCACCTGCATAACACTGGGCTCGCGGAGGAGTCAACGTGCAGCTTCTGTGGGGAGGCAGATGAAACTACCGAGCATGTGGTCTGTCACTGTGACGCTTTGATCAGGGACAGATATCAACTCCTTGGAGACAGATACCTGGAACCGAGGAGGGTGAAGCAACTTAGGCTAAACAGGGTCCTATCCTTCATTGAGAGGAACGGGCTCTGAACTCAGTTGCGAAGAAAGGGGGTAGGCACAATGGGCCTCTGGTGTGCCTAAGTGCTGCCCGGTCGGGATCCCCTGCGAATAGAATAGAATAGAATAGATACTTTTGGTCCTAGTACCAAAAAGAAATTGACTTTGAAAGTTGGCCAATTAAAAAATTACAATCACGGAGATATGTCACATTGACATCGTTTTACATTGTAGGTTGTAAGATATTTCTATACATACAAATCAAATATTTTTGCATATTATTCAATGCAAATAATGCTGTTACCTATACGTATGTACATGTATTGAAAATGATTTACGCTTGCTATTTTTATTTAAACGATGTGTAACGTAATTTACATATTCGGTGAACGTAATTTTAATACGTATACAACCCGCCGTCGCGCGTAACGCCATCTACTTCAGACCCATTGCACTATTATCTGTCATTTTGAATTCAAAATTTGAAAAAGTTAATTGCAATTAATTTTAATCAAAAAACTGTAAGGCAAGTTTTTTATTTCAATACAAAATATAACAATATTAATTGTGTGTACAATAGAAATGACTGAAACTGATAGCGACATGGATTGCACTCCGCCAGAGATTATAGAAACGGCAGAAGATGCTACCTTAGATTTGCTCCCTACAAAGTCGCGAGAGGTGAGAACTAAGAACGAATAGGTTATAAGTTAACCTAAAAACTAGAGTGGCATGACAAGAAAGCAGAAGTTCTCATACTAGTAGTGAAACTGTGACTGAATCTAAATTCGAATATAATTTGAAGTAAAGGGGGTTGGAGAAAAAATTTTATGTTTTATTCGTACAAAAAATGCGTTTTCGGGACTCGGAAGGTTGCTGGACTCCGCTAACGCGTCGTCCAGCAACTATCTTCCTCGTCCCGAAAACTGACATTTTTGTACTAATGAAACAAATAACTATTTCACTACTAGCGTCTGATGACATGATTATTAACCTTTTTTCCACTTGTAAAGTAGGCTTTCTCGGCATTTGTTCAAAGTGGTTAATAATGTGGATATTATTAACTACTAGTCAATAATGAGAACTGTCACGCTGTCACTTTTAGAAAACACAACCCGAAATTTCGCTTAATAAACGTTTGGGCAAGTTTTCTAAAATGAATAATTGCCACCATCCGCCATTTCCAGAGAAATTACATACCCAAAATTATCACATTTTGAGAAAATTCGAATGAAATTACTCTTTGAAAATATCTCAATGACAGAACAAAATACGGCATGTTTGACTTGTACTTCTACGTACTTGATTGACATGTTAAATTAATAAACAAAAAATTCTGTCCAACCGTTCACTTTCTTATCAATATAATATGTTAATTTAGAGGATTTCAAGTGCTAGTAGTGAAAAAAATAGTATATATACCACGGTAGAGAAGTCTATTATTGCCTTCGCACCTTACACCCCTCGGCGCAAGCGCCTCGAGATGTAATCTTGGTGCTCAGGCAATAATACTGTACTTCTCTACCTTGATATATAATGTACTATTATTCTAAACAAGTTCATTTATATTCATTCTTTCCCCCAGAGCAATAGTTAACGAGATATTCGAAGTCAAATGCGAAAAAACACGACATTTTCTTCGTTTTTTGTTAATAACAATATGTTCCGGCAGTTTCCGGCCAGGGGGACTATGATTTTCGGATTTAGCGGATTTGTTTACATAGAAACGCTGTGTGTGGTTGAGTGAAGTGACGACATCCAGCCCAAACCGTAATTTGATTTTTAAAGTTCACGGTTTTCAAGATTCAAGAGCCTGAACGCTCACGGTTCTCAAAAAGCTTCAAAGCTACCGTGATTAAAGAGTTTCAAGATTGAGGAACTGAGATTGTTAGGATTCAAGATCTTAACCGTTCAAAGCTTTCAAGCTTCAAAAGCCTCAAAACTCAAAGTTCGCGAAAAACTTTAACGCTACCATGATTCAATATCGTCAATGTTCATTAGTACCAGTCTCAAAATTCAGGACTATTAATATCCCAGATTGTTAGAATTAAGCTTTTCAAAGTTGAAGATTTACGAGATTCAAGAAGCCTGACGGCCCAAATTTGATTTAATATTGTCAAATTCAGTCATACCAACGCAAGGTTCAGGATTTTTACTATCCATGAGGTCAAAATCGCGGAAACTGCAACGTAGCATATGTTGGTCGTATGTGGAAATGCCATCGAACTTGCTTAATTGGTAGGGAAAAATGAAACGAATCAACGATTAAAAATGTCAGGTTTTGTTAATAAGAAGCCATTTTGTAGGCGTTCATTAATCAGTAAGTAAGTAAGGAGGGCACATTTCGGGAGAGTTTTTCGTTTTTTGGTAAAAAAACTAATTTCGAGATTAATAACGAGATCGCGATATAGTACGTTTGCCAGGAACTTAAACGTGATTCATTTTTAACGGGAGGCTAGTCCTTCAGGTTTTATTTTCGTGAAAGCGCGCGATATATAACCATTTCGTCATTGTGCCCACGGTGTGTAAAACGGGTGATAAAATTCATATTCGAATTTGGAATCTCCACCTGTGGCTGTAATAATTACCACAAAGGGAAACATACTGTATAGTGTATACACATACAGGGTGGCACAACAAAAACGAAACAGACTGAATAACTCGCAAGGAAATAGTTTTTAGAGCCCTTTTCAATGATGTGTCACTCGGCCCAACGTTGAATTTAAAAGTAATGAAGAGGTGGCAACCCTGCTTACCAAACGCGACCTGTTTTTTACGTTTTTACCAAAAACTATTTCCTTACAAGTGATTCAGTCTGTTTCGTTTTCGTTGTGCCACCCTGTATAACGAAATATCAACACAAAATGTCAATCAACCCCCCCCCCCCCCCCAATTGCACAGCGGTGCGCCAAAAACCAGCGTTAATGCTCCGGCGCTTACCTGAGAAAATTCGTTTCGGGTTTCACGTTGAATGTCACGTAATTGATTTATTTACAGGGTGTCCCATTTATTTTGAGACAGTCGATTATTGCGGAAACTAGCGGAGATATCAAAAAATGATTTATATAAAATATTCTTCATATGAAGTGGCCCATTTAATGATGCTATCTTTTCACATAACGGACAACATAAACCTATACTTTGTATTGAATATTGTATTAAACTGTCAAACATGTTTTTTTTAAATCTGGTTTGAGCTAGGAAGCTGTTCTGTCAAGAATAGAAGAATAGACTCAGTATGTACTTTTGCAATGTACGTACCAGTACAATTTACTAGGGATCTTCAACATTCCAAGCTCTTTAGCTATGTAGATAGTTCACGAAACTCCAAGACCCTTTTTTCAGCATTGGATTTTGTATGAAGGAGAAAATTGAACTTGAATTTCAATGATTTTTACATTTTCAAATTTTAATCACAATATCGATTTACACGTAAGGTGGAAGAAAAAAAATGTCTGGTACACCCATCCTGATGATGGTGTATGAATATTGAAACTTACTGCATTAAATGTAAAAGGTGGGCACTACTTACCACATGGCTTGTACGGAAACAGGCTTGAAGATATGATGACGTCCACACACGCTAACACTGAACCCACTGAAAAAAGAAAAAACATGGTTTTATTGGAAATTACCAGACTATATGACGCTGAGTAACCTCATTGCCTAAGGGGTCTCTACTTGTCGCATATACGGTCAATGAACAATAATTGGGCCAATCTTATATTAAAACTTTTATAAAATTGGTAATTGCATCTTTCTGGTCGGGTATAGAATGGGCACGCCGTCGTGTATAACGTTTGATGTCTTCAAATGCAATGGCGGTTGGGTAGGTATTCTGAATACAACCTCCTATCATCGATAGCAATCATCATGAACGATTACATAGTCACGCGAGCACGAAATTTAAGGCTATTATAAGTTTCCAAGACGAAATGGGGACGCCATCGAAAATGCAATACCGGCGCAAAAGAAAGATGCAACAATTGCTAGCGCCTTTCACATTCATGATATAAGAAGCGATTAAAGAGGTTAAGTAATCATCAATTATTTATACTAGACATCTCGCGCCCACTAAATTAATTAAACTCTAATTGCGCGTGCCCGACGAGAAAAATAAATGTTTTGGCAATCGTTGGTCGATTAAAAATTGTCCACCTGCACGACGCCTTGTCAACCTTACCGCGCTGCCTACCGAAACTGACGTCAGTTTTATTGAAAGGACGACATTCACCGCATTAAACTAAAGATATATGGAAAGCATGAGATAATCGATGCTTCCCATGCACGTCCGCCCAAACGTTACCTTTCGAAGCGATCAATCGAAAACACACACGATTCCGTCGACGTCTGATTGACTGCAGCTGTATACGAAAAAGTCAAACCACTTGACAGTCGTCAATAAGGAAATGTGGACGTTGATTGAAGTTCAATGAGACCATCTGCTACTGATGACGAAAAGTTTTGGAGAAGAAGAGCAGAGTAATTGGCACACGAATAAAATTGTGGCAAAAAAGTGCGACGTCATTTGAGGGTTGATTCAACCTGCTCAAGTATCGCAATTTGAGATGTGTCCATCCGGAGGCATATTTTTGCATATTTCCAATATGTATGGATCAATGATCAAGAGTGGGAGCTCTATCTACGGTCACCTGGTACTTCCAAGAGTGTTCAATTGACGTTCTTCCTAAATTCCGCGAACCCATCATTAGATTATTAAATTATACTGAAAATACTATTAATAATGACATCATGAAACAATAGCGGTCTGTAATGTGACCCCTGCGGCGCTCCTTTCTAGGTATATCTGCAAGCGTATAATGTTGTAAAATTAAATCGTCCTAATTTATGGAATTTGTTTACCGCAACAAATCGAGTCGCGCTCGCGGCCAACGGCCACCGTTAATATAAACATTAACCAACGAACCACAACATAGACCGGAATAAATTAATCTGACGGCATCGATATTAGTGGGATCGGCATAAAAATCGAAACAATAGCCTGCCTAGCTATGAATAATTAAAAATTGTAAAAATATCCGCATGCAGAAGGAAGTGATTATTATAAAATTTGAATTTGAATTGAATAGAAAGTATACACACGGAGTCAATGTAGGTTAATCGTGTGCAAATATTATTCGTATTAGACACGTGCTCAAAATAGAGACGATTATTGCTCAATTTCGGATGTAGCCGACAGCTAATGATGTAGATACCTCCCGAAATTATTCGAAATAATAACCGCAAGTCTTTACTGAAGGTTAAGCTCCCCATCGCCAAAGTTCAGTTACACGTCCGAAATAGAGTTTGATCAATAGTGTGATGGCCGTCTAGTCTACATGGTGATTTATCCCAACGCTGTTTTAGATGGGGATTAGAGATCGTTCCAAAAATTGCTTTTCGCAACACTCAATCATCTTCGGTGCAAATGTCAAGGTTGGATGTTACAATGGGAAAATGAGCCCCATTGACTGCCTTTTTCAGGAGAAGAGGAATTCACAAAAGATTCTTATGCAAAGCAGGTATGATGCATTAGCATAATTCCATCGATTGGTATGCGATTAGTAATACGTAAGAATACACCAGTATTAGGGTGGTCCGCATAGGTAAATTTGGAAATATCCAATCAGCTCAGAGATTTCGGATAAAAATTATTGTAGTGGATTGCATGCAACGGAAAACCACAGGGGTGGTATAAGGAAAAACAGAAATTTTGTTGACGCCGCGTGGTTTACAGTTGCCACAATGAATTTTTCTACCACTAATGAATGTAGTTTAACAAAATCAAATATACCTGACCTTTGTTTAATTGATCAATGTTTCATTTTTTTCACATTTTTTAATATTTCATCATTTGTAACTTACCGGTTGCTTAATGGGAACCGGGAAAAATTTGGTGGATTTAGCGGTTATAAACATTTTGCGAGGATCTGGATTTAGAAAGGGGGATGAACGGTAGCTCACTCTGATACAGGCCTCCCTTAGGGTCATTTGTCGTGCCTCCCTGATACTAAAATTGTGTGCCACCACCACACTAAGGCTACTCGATGATTGATGCTGGGAAAGATGAACAGGCTTCACGTCGACTGTGTCCAAGTGATGGGCACTCACAAAGAGCGTGTTTTGGTCCATACAATGCATACGCAGACTGCTCAGATACTATCCCTATGAGCAAATGTACATTTTTGTGTGGCAATTCTATACAAAGAACTAACTCTTCTTCTTATCACGCAGCTGTTGTCACAGGTTTCATTATTAGTTGGCTTTTATTTAAAAAAAAAAAGTATCACGAAACAATTGCTATTGTGTCAAACGCCAAAAAATTTTAGAGCCCAGCTACATTTAGAAAACCTATTTTATTATGCCACATCTAGAAGGCGTAAGCTATTATATGGAAACGTGTGGATAGATTATCCATAACTGTATCGCACACGAACAGAAAAATGTTACAGATGCCCCTGCTGCATACCTTACTAAGTTTTAGTAATGGGTCTGTTAAATCAAAAATTGAAAAAAGCTGCAAAATTTGGTATGGGTTTCTAAACAGGGTGCATCACACATTATTTGGACAAATAGTTATATTCTCTTAAATAATTCAGAAATCGTGTGATTTAAGTTTATGATCTTTTTGATTTATTAATAGCAATCGTAATTTTAACTTACCATAATTTTGACTTACATTTCCTAATTTTGATTTACCCTCGGATTTACCTATGTCTCGCAATTCTTACTTATATCTCGTACTTTTGAAAGGTAGCAAAATTTTTTGACATATTTTGTATTTAATTTTTTTTTACCCAATATGGCGCCCATAAGAAATAAGAAAGTAGTAGCATATAGCTTTTACATCTAGCGTACAATGAAAATTCTGATAACAAATTCAGATTCCGCGAAAAAAGTCTCTATAAAAGGTGTTAATGAGAACCGTCCATTACCGCCCGTATGGAAACTGAAAACGAAGTTCAAAAGATTTTTTTGTCACAAAAAGGGACAAACTTGCCCCCATTTAAATCTGCACTGTATCTGTCACCGTTACGGAGTCCCCCATAGTGAACCACGAATTTGAATCACCATGTACTTGTAGGCTCCCGTTGAGTGAAATGAGGCAAAACGAGTAGGCGAAATACACATTCTAAAATGAGCACAACCTTTGATTATTATATTATTACAACCTAAAGAGGGTCCCATTTTCGACACAATTTTTACCGTATCTCCGTAATCGTTAGTACATACTATACAAAAATTAACAAAGGAGAAAAACTGTTCTCTTTGGATCAAACATAAAATGGTAAAATCAAAATTTGACAATTTTCGCTTAAACTTAAGGTAATACAGGAAAAAATCAATTTCTGAACTAATTTCATGCTACAGTTTCATTATGAAGGAAAATTTTTGTGCTGAAATACATATAATCTGCAAAAAAAATTGTGACACAAAGCTAATGCTTCAAACCAGAGCATTCTGCGATGATTCCTTCGACAGTCATACTTAAAAAACCCTTGCAACCGATCGAGCGACCGACCGAACAGCCACAGTGAATATATAAGCGCTACTTTTTTTCAAAAACTAAAGTTCATAAACAGGTTGAAATGAATAAATAAAACAAAATTTCAAAAACATTTTTTTTATTCTTTTAATTTAAAAAATCCTTTTTAAAACCTTTTAAATCAATACTAAAATTTCTTGAACTTTTTGTGTTGAAAATAGAATTTAATATGATCTATTGTTAGATTAAAATATACAGGGTGTTTCACTAAACAAAATGAGGTTAGGTACGATAAATTTTTTACCTGACAACGTATAATTATTTGAAAACTGAACATTACTCATCATTATAAAGAAAGTTTTGCAATAATAAACATTTTTCTGTGTATATTTTTTTTTTATTATCAATTGATTTTATTTAAATATTATATAAAATATTTCGAACCTCGTTTCGAACATTTAAAAAAGGTTTAAAGATTTAAGAGAGGAAGAAAATTTCGTCTAAAGAGATTGTAGAAGGAAAAGTGCCCATAACACTAGCAGCATTTACGCGTGAATGGCCAAACTAATTATTTGAAGTAGGAATGTTTTCGAACGTATATTTATATATTTAACTAATTTATTTGAAATTTTGACTTTAATTTAAAACTTTAAGTTTGATCGAAAAAGAGCACTTGGCCCCTATATTACTTTTTTATAACACTAACAATTACGAAGTGTAAAAATGTCGAAAATGGGACACCCTGTACAATAATATCGTTACGTTATATCTGCTTTTTTATTTCTGCTTCCTTCGCCCCCGGCGCCGGAAATGGGTGGTCATTCTGGTCAATTTACCAAACTGGACATAGATTACACAGGTTTTTAAAATTTTTTTCTAATGCAAAGCGTTTTTGGATTATTATTTCAAAAATATGCAATACAAAAATATCAAATTGCCTACAGCTTTTCCTAAAATAATACACGGCTAAAGGCACTAAAGCAATATTTAGTAGATGGTTCTATCTTTTAACTCTAGTTAGCCGAACAAAAATCAAAGAGGGAATTTACATAATTGTTTCATTAATCATTTTACGATATATAACTATACAGGGTGGTGACTTGTGTAACGCATCATAGGGATTTCAATGTAAAATTCATAACATGCCATTATTGGCTCCCCAAATTATTTTAGAGCAAAAATGTACTAAAGTTTTTTGTAGAAAAACAGTTTGTACGCCAATCAACCGTATTAGTTTTCCATTTTTTTCATATAAAGACGGAAAATTGGAAAAATAAAACCAGCATCTTTTTTAATAATCTGCGATGCCATGGAATTTTCTAAAACAAAAAGATATCCAGTTATCAATTAGCAGCAGTTCGAAATGGATTTTATGATCGAATTTGATTAATGTATTGCAGTTAATGAACATTTATTGTAAATTGTTATATTAGGAAACCGTATTTAGTAATTTGGTCTTTCTTTATGTTGAATTCGCTGTTCTAAATTAAATACTTTTTGATAGAATTTGATTTGTTTTATAGCAGAAATTCCATGGCATGACGGATATTGGGGTAGTTTTTGTTTTAGAAAATTCCATGGCATCACAGATTGTTGAAAAAGATATAGAGATTTAATTTTTCCAATTTTCGGTCTTTATTATGCAAAAAATTGAAAACTAATACAGTTGATTGACGTACCAATTTTTTTTCTACAAAAAACCTTAATACATTTTTGCTCTAAAATAATTTGGGGAGCCAATAATGGCATGTTATGAATTTTACATTGAAATCCCTATGATGTGTGACGCAAGTCACCGCCCTGTATAGGTACAATACTTTTAAAGCAAGCATTTTTGCCCAGAAAAGATATCAGCATCAGATGACGACTTGGGGTTTAACTGCAGCTCCATTAGCGAGACAAATTGGGGTGTAGCGGTCATTTCTTTTGTGACTTGTGGCAAATTTTGCGACTACCAGTTTCGTAATCTTATATTTGAATGTCACTTAGTTAATTTATATAAAGTGTGTCCCATTTATCTTGAGGCAGTCGATTATAGCACAAACTAGTGGGGATGTCAATAAATGATTTGTATAAAATATTCTTCATATGGAGGGAGTTACTTTCAAAGCTCTTAAACATACCCTACAGAATAATAATTTTTATTAGTCCTTGTCGGTGAAGAGATGTGTCTTGGAAACCAAAAAAAATTACCTCTGCGCTAAAAAAATCGCAGATTGATTCTTTTTTTAAAAAGGGTTTTAGCAAACTCATGGTAATATGGCGTGTGATTTTGTGTTTCGAGTTGATCGGAATTTCACTTTCGTGACAACATTTAAATTTGAGGCGAACTTTAATATTTTCCCTTGTTAAACCCTTGTTCAATTTGATTCCTTTGAAGTCGCGTAAAACTAGCGTCACCCTGTTGGGGTTGATTGACGTTACATGTAACTAGATGAAATCGTTTTAAACGCGGGGCCGCCTTCTTTGTCAATGTGAATGAATGCCAAAGCGGCGATTTCGTTTGAAATCCACATTGAAGGATAAACCGTGGAAAGTAATTTATTTTAGTAAACACTGGTTCGCCTACGGTTTCACTTTCTATTACTTAGCAAAATAAAAATAATTGCGAATCTGATTTAAAATGGTCATGAATTGTGCGTGGCCGAGTGTTAATGGTGTCGTCCAGTTGGTCTCTTCCCAACCCAACTCGATGGCGTAGGTGGAAGCGATTTAAACTTGACTGTCGCGAATGAAGGTGTCATTTCCAAATTAGTGAATGAGTTGATCGTAAGGCGTACGATGTGTGGACAACCAGCGATGACCAAATCAATTTCTACATATAGCATAAATACGTTATACAAGTGCCACGCATCGCGACGGAACGATAGGCAGTTGCTTCTCAACGTGAACCGTTTGCTGACGCCAAGTGGAGTACCCCAAGGGTCTGTTTTGGGGCCGTTTGTTTTTTAAAAGAATGTTAAAAATTGTGTCTCAGAAAAGAACTTGTGAGATTGGATATATGTGCAGTGAAAAAATGCAACAACTTACCCATCGCCGTCAAGTGTTATGGCAGTATCAGCAAGGACTCGCAACACCAAACCGACGGTAGTCTTCTCATTACAATCGATGCCCAAGAGGCAAGATTCTTCGGCACGTTTGCCCATTCTCGAAACAACCACCAAGTATCTAGTTCGACTAGAGTGTACGCTTTCCAATTTGACGGCCTGAAACAGACAAACGCAAAATGAAAATTACGCAGCATAGAGTGGACGGGTGTTCGGGAAATAAAATTTTACAACAGGTTTTAAATGAGCGTAAAGGACACTTTCACAAGCGATTATATTTATGTTTGCTTTTAATACCTTGTAATTATTACGTGAATCGACCGGCCTATATCGAGCCATTACTCAAGTTTATTGGCATTTGTTCGCAAAAATACAAATGGCTGGCAAGTTGAACGGAACGCTTTTAGAATCTGACTGGCATTTTGAGATAGCGATCTCGATTTACGGACACCTCCTCTACTATTACTACTACACTCGAAAATGGGTTCGTGAACCAAAGAAAAACAGAAATAGACCTTAGAAGAAAGGGGGTGCGGTTTCTTTTTCAAACGCACTTGTAGCACTTTCAAAATCAACAAAATCGAGTCAAGTGGCTGGAGCGTCTCGAGAAATCCGTTGCAGATCAAGCGTTTCCTACAAATAAATAACGTCAGTTTCAATTGATAATAAATACGCTATTCTTGGCTCAAAACCCCCCACGTGTATATAAGCTTTCGCTTATCGCTTTTTAAATAGAAACGTGTAAAGTAAACACGATACGGTTTTGGAGCTCGCCAGTTCGGTAAAGGCGAAATCTCAAAGTCACTTTAAATTATTCAAATCACTGAGGAGTTTTCCAAAATGGAAATGCCATTTCATTGAGAAGTGCTTTCAAATTCTATTTACCACTCTGCTCCGATTCAGACAGGAGTGGAGATTCTCAAAAATGTCTTGTTAACAAGAGAAAATATAATTTACATACGAGATCGAGCCAAACCGATCCGTTTGTTAGTATGCATTTGTACTGCAATGTGACGTAGCTTTTCACCTAAATAAATCTGAAAATTCTAATCTAAATCGGTGCATTTTCACTTGCTTTCTTTATTGAAAATTTCATTATTACAAAGAACCTTTTACTAAAATTTCAGATCAACAGTAGCAGAAGATATGAAAGATGGGAGTGATGGAGGAACAGAGATTGTGTGCCATACAGAAGCTAAAATTGCATATAATAGAAATGTTACAGGGTGTCAAAATGAGAGGGTTGAATCCGTCAGTTAATTGATGTAATTAATGATCGTCTTTTTTACGTCATTTGATTTCTATAGCGCGTTGTTATAGCTTTAGGAATAGAAGTTCTCGGCTCCCGAAAGTCGCAGATAATTAGGGGTTTTATTGCAAAAATACCTGACCAAAAAGTACGCAGGTACCAGTTGATAGTACCCATTTTAAAGATACAATTCAGCACAATTGGGAAAGTAGCGTCAAGCAAATTTGCTCTTAACAAAAAAATGGTCTACATTACTAGAAGCCATCTTGAACAAGGTGTTAATTAATTAGTAATTAATTAAGTAGGGGATATTCCCTTTGTATTAATTCGTGTTTGAGCCACCCATGCGACTAGTGTGTAAGATTTTGCATTACTCTAAGAGATTTTCCGCGGGTAGTTAATCCGGGGCGCTTTTAGAAGACATTCGGTCAGTAACTATCAGAAATAATTACGTAGTTTCGTCGCGAAATAATTTCGTTCGAGCTTCGCCAGAGTGAAAGTTACCGTTTGTTTTCGAGCACTAGAAAACTAAGTTCTAATTGCAAGTATTTTTCTTTGAATCAATTGGATTGTGCCAGTTTTTTATCCATGCTAAAGGAAAGGTTTATTGTATAACGAAAAGACGATAACACCGTATCCAGTTAAGGCCAATCCAATTAAACGAGCCGGTGCCATATTTTTCTTCGCTACAAAAGGGCTGTTATTTACGTTCAGTGCCAAGTGATGCCGGCGCGCATGCAACAATAACAGTAAAAGGAATTGAACTTTAGTCTTAGTATGGGAATTCGTAATCAGAAGACTGTTATAATCAGCCGCAGTTGAAAAAACAGGATGCAAAAAACTACCCCATGAGAACATTTGTTTAATCAGGAAATTTGCTGAAGGATTTTGCCGAAGGGAAGTTCCAATCTACAGTCCATTATTTAATTTTCCGCTCCGTATCAGTGTTGTTGTAAGGAGAACCGGCTCCAGACTAGTGTTTGTATCAACATCGACACCTGCAGAACGACAGTTTTATATGACGCACCGTTATTGTATTTATGTAGAATTAAGGGACCATAGACACGAAAATTGATTTAGTAGTGGTAACCAGAAATAGGAAAACCTTCAAGTTGAGACTACCAGACCAGACGTCGGGGGGCCATCAGTCAGATAAAAGATCAGCGGCGATAAGGAATGGAAGCGGATGCATTCTTTCCTTGAAATATGATACGCCTTCTAGAGTCTGTAAGAACTTTGCGTAATTTTTCTAGAAACTTGCAAAATAAGCAAATTGAAGCGTGTTTAATGGCAGTTCCAACATCGATCTCGAATTGATCATCAGCGAAGTTCGCGCTTATATCTGATAAATTTAAATGTTATAAATTAGTGCACAAGATTGTTGATTAATACATAATTAATAAATTGTAAATAAATAAATCATGTAATTAAATTTACGTTACAGTACTGTACAACTTGGATACAAATGATGTTACACCGTGACGAAGAAAGGAATCGGAATGTTAAAGAAAGTTCGATCAGTGAGTCAAGATGGGTAAATATTATTAAACTATTACACTTACGAAAAAAAATTATAACGGGAGGAATCTTTCAGAATAACGACTGGTTTGGTTTTGAGAATACTGTTTACGTTTTTGTCTCCCTTCTCCTCCTCAGTAAGTTGAGTGCACCGGCGAGTCGAGAATATACAGAAAAAAGACTAGTGGCCATTTGCACCGACAAATTTAAGCGGAGCTTAGCTTAAGCGTAGGTTAAAATCCATGGCAACCATTGTCGCAATAATCGTTGCCATGGATTTTAAGCTACACTTAAGCTAAGCTCCACTTAAATTTTGTCGGTGCAAATGGCCTTAAAAGAAGTGCTTCCGATAAGAACTTAATAAGAAATCCACAAGAAATTATTAATAAATGTGAACGATTACAGATCAAGGTAGGTAACAGGTGGTCGCTTTGGGCTTCAAAGATTTTTTGTTAAACTCAAAAAGTGTACCGCTTCATAATGAAAGAGAACAGAACTAATCGAGAAGTGAAGCGGGCTAAGATAAGAAACAAGTGTTAAGCAGATTAAGATTCGAAACGTTACAGTGTTACCGTCTTTAAAAGCCGTCGCGACAGAGCATGAGTAGGTACGGCAAAGGTATAAAAAACCGAGTGAACGCTTGGTTTGCGGTGGTTCCGAAGAACTTCGTATTTAAGTAAAAATTTGGTGGGAGAACGGTATTGCTATTGCCTAAGGCGTTTCACCATCCAATTTTCCAAATTGCTGCTGTCTTCCGAGGGGGAAATCCAACTGACAATGGAAGAATACTTCAACTTCAACTAAATGTAAGTTTATATTTTTTTATTAATATTGTATCAACATAGACATCGATCGTTTTTGGTGATTTTGTATAAGGAGTTTGCATTTGAAGTTATTTTTCATTCCTGAAGAGGTCGATTTACCTGGATTTATCCAATATCAAAGTTGTGTATTTTTTATGAATGATAGCGCACCCAGACCAAAAATAGTGGTAATTTCCTTGCCTTCAATGTATGACAAAATTAACCGCTGGCACGAGGCGCAACTTTAGGGGTGGCCGAAAGGACCAACGTAGGCAAACAATGCTTTTTGGAATAAGGACATTGTGCTTACTTTAAAAATACAGTTTGAATTCCGACTTTGTAGCAGCCTAGCAGCCTCAACGACGTTCCTCGCCCTAGAAAATACATTATACGAGACGACTAGAAAAGGAAATACCTATATACAAAGTAACAATAATAATCTTTAAAAGTGAAAAGTTCATTGTAGTGGGCGACCGCTTGGCGCCCAAACGCATTCCCATATCACAAAAACAAACCCATAAATTTAATGGGAAATGTCTGAATCTGAAAGGAATTGCACTTTGTGACTTGGAAAAACTGATACTGCATCCGTCTATCACGCGTTGCTTAAACAAAGGTCACGAGGTGTAGGAATGCCGGCGGCATGGCATCCCGTACGACTTTTAATTTCCTCTCAATCAGGGCATGCGAAAATTGTGTCAGCGCGTAGAATGGACAACAGGATTTTGGCATTATTTGGGCTGAAATCGGTTTGAACAAATTAGTTATAATTAAAATAAGAGATTTGGTAACCGACTCTAATTTTAATAGCCTTTTTCGCCTTCCAGCGATTATTAAATTTCCATCAGGAACGAGAGCGCAATAAATCTCAATTCGATGACGTAACAATTTGGTTAACGATTTTTTCATTTAATAGCTTCCGTGTCAGTTTTTTTTTTACTTTTCAGGCATACCAATAAATCAAAACTTCACTAGCATATAATTACACTGTTGGGAGTTTGCTTTCCGTGCGGTGGAAATGAATAATTAATGTAGGATTTATAGAAATTACGGATTATGTTACGTTACGCCAATGAATTTCTTCTTCTATTTTGCAGGCGTAGAGAAAAATTTCGCACGCGGAAACGGGGGAGGTTACTCCGTACATACTTTCCAATTGAATAAATTCAATTTGGGAAAAATAACCATTGCAGTAATACCCTAAAAGAAACAGGAAAGGGTAAACAAAGTTTTAACTAAACAGTGTGGATGTGGAGGATGTTGAAACGATTTATTTTCTCCATTGTATAGCATTATTATTGTTCACGGGTTTACTACTTGTCGGAGAACCCCCGTAACATTTAAAGAGGTCAAATACGTGGCTCCACCTATCGGTGTAATTTTTATCCACGCGAAATTAACGCGCAGGGACGAGGAACTGAGCCAAGCTGAATTTTTCATCTGTAACAGAGATCGAAATTTCCTTAGATCAGTTTCGAGCATTCCGCGGCTACTCCGAATTAGGTTTTCCTGCACTTTTCCTAATTCGTAAAGTAAATACCGGAGTATTACTAGTATAGACCAACTTAATACCTTCTGCAGGGGCACCTCTACAAAAGCATTATGCGGGTCACTCTGTAATTGGGCGAAAGCCTGTTGACTGATTGAAAAATTCAAAAATCTTTTTGTACCATATTTTAATTTTTTTTTATCTTTTTGAAATTTTTTAAAAATTTGTTTGAGTCACGTTTTTTTTAATATAATCACGGGTGTGTAATATTTTTGAATAAAGAATCTAAGTAATATGCTTTTTAGATTATAATAATACACGCTGTTCCATTTACAAAAATGAGGTTCAACTATCCAAAAACCGGATTTCTAGGCGCCAGGTGACATATGCATTGCATTTCATTTCATTTCATTTATTTATTCGTTGTTGCTTTACCTTATAGTAGGTGGCAACACCATGTCCCTAATACATACAAACAATAAACTTAGCACAAATACTAAAATTACAAAATGTATAGTATAACATATTAAAACAAACCGACACATTTAAAAAACACATTAAAAGATACATTCTAAAATTGTGACGAACATGCAATAAATATTTTAAAAGGTTTCAAATGTTTAAGTATTCATTTAGGTGATAATACGCTTTTTCTACTAGAAATTGTTTTAATGCAAATCTAAATTTTTGGTAGGTTTCCCGTTTTCAAAATTGGTGGTACGTATGCATACCGACGCAGCTATTCATACACATATACCGCTGTAGCTTTTATAGTTCTCGAGATCAATAGTAGATAAAATAAAATGAATTGTTTTTTTGGGAGCTTTAGTTAAAAGTTTCTGGGAAAGTAAAATAGGTAGGTTTTTGAAAATTTGTACTTAGGAGTTACTCTGAAGGCCGAATCGATGTAAAATATTTTCAAAATGGCCGCACTTCAGGAAACACCGGAAGTAGATAGTAACCTTGTTATTTTAAATGGCAACCCCTATTTTTTATTGCATTTTTGGATTCTACGTGAAATGTCACTTCTTTTGATACCCAGATGTCGATATCTACCATTTATGGTTTTTAAATTATTTTGACTTTAAGAAAAAAAAAGGGCGGATGCAGATGGTACCTTGATAATTGATTACTTGAAAACGGTTGTAGTCATGGCAACCTATTTTTATCAGTGCATAGAGAATGAATAGGGCTTTCTTTTAGTGCACTTAAAAAAAAGTTAAGTTGCGTACGATCGCCCCTATGGATATCCAAATTTATGAAACTTCAAAGACTAAAACCTCAGTTTTTTTAAATGGAATGACCAGTTCTTACTATTCCATGAGATAGAGAATCCAAATGGGCATATTTTGACAATACATGTGCCTATAGCTATCTTTAACAGTTTCTGACTTATTCCCATTTTATTGAATTGACACTATTTTTTTCAGATTTTCTTTTTAGTAGTCGGCCATGATTCTATAACAATTGAATTTTAAACAAATCTAGTGACACTAATCCGTCACCTACTGTTATAGGTTAACATAGTTTTCCAAAAATCGAAAAATGACTCGCAGTGGTTTCAACTATTTTGAAATTTAATTGTTATTTATGGTGAAATGGGCAGAATCGCGGCGCGTGCTTTCCGTACATTCATTCGAAAACTGGAACGAAATTGTATGAATTTTGGAAATTTTGTACCCCTAATGCACTACAAACCGTTGAAACACAAGTGATACAAAGATCTACAAGAGAATATTTAAGAAAATGAATTGAATTGCAAATGCAAGATTAACAAAATAAATTCAATGCAAAATATAAAAAACTTCGTTGAAACCTTTTTGGTATGGAATTGTTGCTAGAACAGATATCGCATTACCTCTCTTAATTTCCAGACTTGTTTAAGAAATTCAGTTGAACGACTCTGTCTAGATTTTTCAAAAATTTTCCGTCAAATATCCTTAATAAATGAGTTATTTATTAATTAATTATTTAGACTAGAACTAGAATCAATGGTATTAAAGAATCCATTCCTTGATTTGTTTAAATTTCGATTGTTATAATATCATGGCCAACTACTAAAAAGAAAATGCGAAAAAAAATGGCATCAATTCCGAGATCAATTCAATGAAATGGGAATAAATCAGAAACTGTTAAAGATAGCGATAGGAACATGTAATATCAAAATATGCCAATTTCGATTCTCTATCTCATGCAATATTAAGAACATGGTCATTCCATTTAAAAAAAACTGAGTTTATAGACTTTGAAGTTTCTTAAATTTGGATCTCCATAGGTGCGGTTGTACGCAACTTAACTTTTTTTTAAGTACACTAAAAGAAAGCCCTATTCATTCTCTATGCACTGATAAAAATGGGTTGCCATGACTATAACCTTTTTCAAGTAATCAATTATCAAGGTACCATCTGCATCCACCATTTTTTTTCTTAAGTCAAAATAACTTAAAAACCATAAATGGTAGATATCGACATATGGGTATCAAAAGAACTGAAATTTCACGTAGAATCCAAAAATGCAATAAAAAATAGGGGTTGCCATTTAAAATAACGAAGTTACTATCTACTTCCGGTGTTTCCGGAAGTGCGGACATTTTGAAAATATTTTACATCGATTCGGCCTTCAGCGTAACTCCTAAGTACAAATTTTGAAAAACCTACGTATTTTACTTTCCCAGAAACGTTTAACTAAAGCTCCCAAAAAACACCCTGTATACTGATGTTAGGAACGTCGGTCAGACTTTGTTAGAATTTTCAAAACTTTGTAAATTCGTTTTCTTGTTCCAAAGCCTCTCAAGTGTTTTTCTCATAATCTTTTTTTATAGTGAACCATCTTGAAGTGGGAGTTTTGATAATTTCATTTTAAAATCGGCAGTGTTGCATAAGAAAATTTAAACAAAAGATTCAAATTTTCTCTCTCTTTTCACATTTGCGATTCTCGTTTTTTTTTTTTGGAAAAATAACTTCATTTGGTTCACCCTAGCTAGACATCTTCGCTACCAATTCCTTCATATGCTGAACGTGTGGCACATTTGTACAAAATTTGGTCACTTTTGTGACTTTCTGATCAAACGATCTCGGAAGAAATGAGGTATTTGTTTAACCCACTGAACTGCTACCGATAAGGTCTTGTTCCACATTTCCCATTGTTTCCAAAGTCTATTGTGATTTAACCTCAAAGTAGGCTTTATTCTAAACATTTGAATGTAAATAATTACAACCTTATCGCTGAATTGTCACTATACTATTGTTATTTTCTAAGGGTACGATAAGGACACCATTTTCGTACAAACACGCGTGACATAACTGAACACACCTGCCGTATAAACAAGTAAATAAAAGTTTATTAAAATAAAACCGGTTAAAACAAGAACATTTCATTAGTTTCTCGGGATATTGTAGAATTGCGACGGGATGTGTCAGTAATTGTTAATTACAGCGAGTGCATAAGCAATAAAAAGAAAACGGTTTACTTTTAAACTCGATTATTATGCATAACATAATTTGGTTAACGCTCGAATGCCTCATTCGTAAAATTATGCAAAAATCGCCTTTGTGTGGAAATTTTTTGGGGCCATCTTTATAGCGGTAGTAAATGATGCACTTTATTGTGAAGTAGCATACTTTGGATGTGAATCACACAAATCCGCTACCCACACTTAAATGATTATGAAAAGTGTCCGTTAAATGGCGATCATACTCAAAAAAACGAAAAACCGTTAGCGGCAAAAATTTCAACCTTTCATTCGATAGGTATCCTTGATCCAATGGAGAGAAAATGAAATGCAGCTAATTAAAAGTAAAGGTTAATTATATTCCCAGTTCGATATCCGCAAACGATTATTAGCAACGCGTAATCATAATCACGTTTGCATGAGAAATCGGTGATAAATGGGTAAGTACAAGTAACCCCATCGTATAACTGTGATAAATATTTCTCCATTTTTAATTAAGATGCAAATGAAAGTGTAATTAACAGCGATGAAGAGTACGCGCTCGTTTATTCCTGATCAAATAATTTGAATGTAACTGCGAGGAATGTTTATAATTAAGGCCTTTCGAGTGAAGAACCTGTTTTGTTTGTTCCGCTTCGGTAAATTAATTTTTGTATGGAGAGGAATTTTGCACGCAGACTAAACTGAATATTGGAGAACGTTAATCAAAATAAATGGCGCGATAAATTCGTTAAAAGCGTCGGCAATACGACGCCCTTCCAATAAGAACAAGCAGCCCAGACGACGTGTCCAAAGAAATCAAATTGAGATATATTAATTAATTTGGTTTATCCCAAAACCCTTTAAGTTTTAGTAATTCAAGTGCAAGTCCGTTCCTTTGAAATCTTTGGATTAAATTAATATAAATTGTTAAAAGTAAAAAGGGTGGTAAAATAAATTGCACCTCTGGCGAAGTCAAGGGGAGAAAGAACAAAAATCAGAAAATTGAAATAGGTATAGAAAATGAAAATTTGAGTAAAAACGCTTTTCATGAAAAAAAGTAAGGTATAAATTCACGATTCGATTAATATTTTAAGAGCTCTAAATTAACACGTTTCCTTGGAAAACTCAACGAACTGCAAATTTTTAGGCCGGATTGCGTATGAAATTGATATAGAACTTCTTCAGTTCATTTGAACGGTCACATTTAAGAAATTCGTTTGATTAACACAAAAAAGTCTTTCAGTGATTTTTTATACCAACTCAACTTTTAACATAATCTAGAAGTAGTTCGGAAAAAATGCAATAATAAGGGATACACATTTGGTGACGAACGGGCGAAGACTAACAATATTTTAAACAAATTAAACATGTTGTAAATCAGCATATGCATGATGAAGGGGGATTTTTGCTAATGCAGATCAGTATTTTATTAGCGAAGTTTAAAATCATCGATCTCACGAGTAATCTAACTCAAAATAAGCCTGCACATCTACACTATAGCAGAATGCTTTTAGTGAAAATTTGAAGTTTCTAGCAGGCTATTGTAATTGCCGAGATCTCAGGCTGAGGCCGAGATCTCAGGCTGACAACCAGCCAGCCCGCCAGCCAACCAGCCATAACGAATATAATAGCGTATTTTTCTCAAAAATCCGCCCATGAACAATAAAGTCTGGGCATGTTAAATTTTTATTTCACACACAATAGCACACTTTTTAAGAGCATTTTCCAACGAGGTTGGATGGGCTATTTCTTTGTCCGTTCGTCCGGGGCCTTAACTACACCGTTTTCAATATATTTAGTTCGTTCTTTTTGAATTCGGTAGTGTATAGCTCTGGCACCTGATCCAAGAAAAATCTTTACCATTAATGTGCGCATGCGCAATATCAGTTTTCTTATTTATTATTCATTTTCATGCCTACTGTATGTCAGGAAATTTTAGTTTCCATGACAAAGGCAGACTACGTTTCCTGCCGCTTGTCATTTTACTGACTGCGCTTGTCACTTTACTGGCTGCACCGTCACTTTACCGGCCGTATTTGTGACATTTGTAATGTCTATAATGACTCCTGTCACTCGGGAATTAAAGTACTCGGCACCAAAGGGCCCTCGTCCTTCAATATTTCCTCGCAAGTAATGTATCATTTTCCTGATTTTTATGTAAATAACTAATGTTGAAATTTTAACCACAGCTACTTCTAGTGAAGGCAAACATATCGCACATACTAAAAATCCCAAACTGCGTAAGTTACGCGCCTTTTTATTTAAGTTTTACATAAGTAATCCATTTTTAACACATTTCCAAAAAAATATACAAAGACATGCCGACTTGGTCCATCCGTTCCCACGGCTGTGTCGCTACTAGATAGGAGCTTGTTCTATTGTTCTATACCTTTTTCGCTATTTGGTTCCTTCTGGTATCGAGGCTTGCGCCAAGGAAGGAATTTTTTCTCCGCGACTTGCAAAAACTTTTACGCTTATAAATTCTATCCGTTTGTTGCATTTTGTTTCTTGTTTAGTGAAAACTCAAAACATGAACCTCATTTTTAGGATCATTTTGAACCAGAGACCCAAATTTTTAATATAAACGCCAATTTGATTTAGGAAACGGTAAAATGCATTGATACAGAAAAAGAAAATTGACTTTTTTGGTCGCCATGGTTATTATATTACTTTATCTATATAAATAACAAGTAAAAAGGTATTCGCCCTAAGGCGCATTTCCCATGCGTTGATCAGTAATTACCGAAAGGCCATATTCAATAGGTATAGAGGATTTTCTCTGTGAAATTTCATAACCTTTGAAATGGCAACCTAAAATAGGTCACTGGCTCTTGATTTATAGCTTTTAAGGATGTAGTAGTGACACAGCCGTAGGGACGGACAAAATGGTCACAATAGCGAATGTTTTTTAATTTATGCGCTAAAATTAGTTAAAATGTAACTCTTTATAATAAAAAATAAAGTCGTATCCACGACTTATAAATCAAGAACGGCTGGGCCGATTTTTATGATCTCTTGGTTTGTTGGATTCACCTCCAAGCCGAATAGCAGAATAGCTATTAAATACAGACAAGTCTTCAAACGATTTAAAACTGGCACAGTGTGTTGATACAACGAACTACAAAGCAAAGTTAAGTAGTAATGCTAACTAATACGTTTAAATATTTAAAATGTGCACAGTGCGATTTTGACATCACCATCATGTTCTGAAACGGCATCTCTTAATTTAACAAAACCTCAAAGGATTTAAAATATGCACACTGTAATGGCATTATGTGGAAATGTGTGGAACGGAAAAAACGAGACAGTCGAAAAGGGACTTAAAATTTAACATACACGGTGTCCATTTTTCGAGTGCCACTATGGGGATCTCGCTTATCTTAAGAGATAGAAACTTGGTTAAATTAGGGCAAAGTTGCGAATTTTCGTGCTGAATAATAATCTAAAAATAAATTTATAATATCTTCAATAGTTTTGAAAATATGGCAAAAAATCGAAAATTTCTGATTTTCATTTTTAACTTTTTCATGGTAAACTAATTGTACTAGACATTTCTAATTAACACATTATTCAGACACTTTTTAATGGAGATTTCGAATATGGCATCCCGTTTTTAATAACTTTCAAGATAACGGAGAAACACGTGGCAACTTTAGTTTTTTTTATGGGCGCCGTTTTGGATTTTGACATTTTGAGATTAGGTTTTTTTTTCTCTTTACAACGATATATCACACATGGTGGTTCAGTATCACATTTTTTCTAAAAATACAATTTTCATTTTCTGCGAAGAGTGCTATGCAAAAACAAAACGTTGTTTTGTTGTGAACAAAATGTTGACCTATTTCAAGCAGTGTCATTTACGTTTGTGCTAGTTTTATTGCTAAAATATTATTTATTCTTATGTCTTTTGTTCTAATTTGAATTATAATTTTCTTTCAAAACGAAGGTTCAATTCTGTTCATATGAAAATCGTTCCTTGATGCCAATGCTGCAACCGGACATATGCATCGAACTGTCAAACTTTTGTTCACAACAAAAGAACGTTTTGTTTTTCCAAAGCACTATTCCTAAAAAATTAAAAATTGTATTTTAGGAAAAATGTGATACTGAACCACCACATGTAATATATCGTCGTAAAGAGAAAAAAAGACGTAATCTTAAAATTACAAAATTAAAAATGGCGCCCATAAGAAAAAGTTGCCACGTGTTTCTCTGTCATCTTAAAAGTTATTTAAAACGAGATGTCACATTCGAAATCTCCATTGAAAAGTGTTCGAATAATGTGTTAATTAGAAATGTCTAGTACGACTAGTTTATCATGAAAAAATTAAAAACGAAAATCAGAAAGTTTCTTTTTTTTGCGTTATTTTCAGAACTATTGATGATATTTTAAATTTCTTTTCAGATGGTTATTCAGCAGGGAAATTCGCAACTTTGCCCCCATTTAACCAACTTTCTATCTCTTAAGGTATAAGCGAGATCCCCATAGTGGCACTCGAAAAATGGACACCGTGTAGGTATGCTTCCAAAGAACTTTCACCGGGAAATGGTAAAACGGGCACGGGGTACGGGAAAAAAACAGGAACCGGGGTACGAAGTTCACCGGAACTGCTAGTATAAGGTGTAAATTCACGGCTAATAAATGCGTTAAAATGTAAATGATGGATGAATCCTAAGAAACCCTTAGCAGAAACTACAAATACAGCAGCCCTTTTATTCGGCAGCATTTCTTCTTGAGCGCAACGAAATTGCGAAATAATTTAAGCGAACTTTCAAAAAATGTCGCCATCCCAGACCAAGGCGATATTAAAATTTGCTCAAGTGGATTCCAATGTACTTACTTATTGCGTAATCCACGAAAACTAATTATACGTTAGCAGTTATAAAACCATAAATTATGCTGACATTGGCATTATTTTATGCATTATTAGATAAGTAAACGCAATTTTTCACTAATTTTTACCACTACCATAAATGGTGTGCTATAATGGAATTTTTCTTGATCGGTGAAAATGGCAATGATTCAACGAAAAAATGAAGATTCCAAAGAAATTATTGAGTGTTCTAAAATTGCCGCGATGAAATTGCTTTATTCAACTTTTTCCACAATTTTTCTTGAGCCAAATGCAGTACGGAATTTTGGACAAATTTCAATGTTGGACGAAGGTCGTTCTCGAAATATTGTCAATAAAATACAGTGCATTTGATTGCTCCCGAAGTGCGAAAAAGTCAAATCCTTGACAAGGATCCGAGTTTTCTGTACATTAAAATTAGAAAGGATCTTAAAATAGCGGTGAAATAATAGCTACGCGATTTCGTAAAGCTGTACGTTTTTGTCTGAAAGGCTTTTGCGATACTGCGCTGGATTGGTATAAAAGAACGGCGAAATGCATCTAGAATCCTTTGGCCCAATTTCGTAAGTAGGTCGCGACGATAAAAGCTTCAAGTATTAGCGAGCCACAATTCATTTCAAAACAAAGTGAAAGGCACTTTTAACGCTCGTGAAATTAAAAACTGCAAACTTACCATTTTTAAGGTCTCTTCCGGCCGCAGAAGGTAGAACATCGACTGCAAGTGCTTCTGGATGTTGCTACCGTGAGCCTCGGTTTGCCGACTCGATTTTTGGGCCTCAGCCGGCAGCACCAGAGCAGTGCCTTTTCCGGCGAAGTAGCATTCGCTAAGGCTGAAAAGGAAGAAAAGCGCAATTAGAGGATATTGTAATTGGCTTGGACAAATGCACCACCTGTCGATGCTGACAGCGATATCATCCCAAACAACGAATTGATCCAAAATGACGACGACACAAAACAAAAACGCGCACGACCCGCTCGACCAATTTACCGTGTGAACGCTTAGAAATGACTAAAAGTTAGTCAAGGTTTTTGGTCTGGCAAATCCCGCGAACGTGTGGGTGACTCGACTAAAACCGCGCCGACTGGTTTACCTTTTTTTTTCATCTTCTCTTCTTCCGAAATTATTGTCCTTCGCCAAAAAAGACTTGCACTTCCGGATCATTACGTGGCCTTTCGCGATAAATGCAGCGATCATAACAAAGCTTGGCAAAAGTAATATTTGTGATCCACTTGGAAGTTAAATATAAACATTGCCTTACACGGCACGAGCAAATGTTATGAAATACATTCCATGTTTATAATAATAATTACATGTTTAACTATTTTGGCAGAGATTAAAGTCGCATGTCAAAGCATTGAAGGACAGCGTGCACCGTCTTCCAATTTAAATTTTTGCGCAAAAACGCCATCCTTTTAAAGTGAAAAGGTGCAGCTTCGTCGACTTTGGATCTTCTAGAAAATGGTGCCGGTATTTTCTTATTAATGTGTGCAATTTATATGCTAATTTCGCCTGCTGATAGCATCGGTGCATCCATCCCAGAATCCATATTAAGTAGGTAATGCCAATATCGAATTTCCACCACTCGTCTTATTTCGCCGTCTCCAACCATTCAATAGCAATAATACAATACGAAATGATATTCACACCCCTAATTTGCATAATATAACGTCTCTACTTAAAAGAAATGAGCGAAAGTTTTAATTTTTCCAAAAAAAAACTGCAAAAGAACGAAGCTATACATATGTCACAGACACATTTTAAGGGTTGTTCGCTAAGGCTTTTAGAATTTTTAGAATGATTACTACCCTAATCGAACTTAACCCTCTAATACACTAAAAAATGGACTAATGTTTCAATTTTTTCCAAACAATTTTGATTTCTGAATTCCAAAAAAATATCGCATACACTAGTAAGTATTAAAACGAAATTTCGGCAAGAGTACTGACAGCAGTTTTTTTTAAGCATAAATAGCTTTTGGCACTGATTCTTGTAGATTATTTTGTTCCGCTTTGTCCACTTTTCTACTGCACTCCAGTAAATAAACGGAGTTTTTTTTCTAATAAAAACTAGGCAAGTGAAAAGACTAAAAAATCTTTCTAAAATTTTTTTTCAATCTTGTTCGAATTTTTTTGAGCCACTTGAATATATCTGAGTATCATATCATCCCCAGTTTGTTATATTATACAAAAGAGATATAATATGCTATCTTTTTAGAATTAAGTCAACGTTACAATTAAAAAATGAGATCAAGTCCCAGAACTTTTTCAACTAAGCTCGTACACTCATTTGGAAAACGGCATATTATTCAAGAATCCTTATGAAGAAACTTTTGTAATATACAGAAACATAAAATATGTATAGGGTCATTCTGAAATTGACATTTTTTTTATTTTCCCCCTATCTTTTAAGCGCGTGAATTTTTCAAATTTTCCCATTTTAAGTTTCTCCAAAAAAGATCACATGGTGCCTATATTACTTTTTTGAAAGCACAATTACGGAGATACCCTACAAGTGTAAAAATGGGACACCCTGTACATAACTTTTTTCCCAAGAAAATCTGGCGTATGTGTAACAAATACGGACATGATTAGGGCTCACGTCAAAAACACCTGGCACAGATTTTATTGGTACTTCTTGTTTAGCGTTTTTTCTAGCTACTCCGAAATAGGTTTTCCTGCAGTTTTCCCTCGAGTTTTCCTAATTTTTTTTAAATTTTTATTTTGCCTTTATTTTTAAGTGGGCGGGGTTTCAGCCGAGGCTGTTCTACCAACCCAACCCACTATACATTTACAAATATCCATGCCCGAACCCGGATTCGAACCAGGGACCCTGTACCGCAGTCGAGCTTCCACTGAACTGCGCTACACGGGCCGGCAAACTGCGCTACACGGGCCGGCGTAAGGTAAATACCGGAGCAGTATAGAACAACTTAAACCCTTCCGCAGGGGCACTTCTAAAAAGCATTATGCGGGCCACTCTGTGATTGGGTGAAAGCCTGTTGAGGGCCCAGAACAATAGAAGGATAATAAATAAAAAATACAGGGTGTTTTTTTGGGATCTTTAGTTAAACGTTTCTGGGAAAGTAAAATAGGTAACTTTTTGAAAATTTGTACTTAGGAGTTACTCTGAAGACCGAATCGATGTAAAATATTTTCAAAATGGCCACACTTCCGGAAACACCGGAAGTAGATAGTAACTTCGTTATATTAAATGGCAACCCCTATTTTTTATTGCATTTTTGGATTCTACGTAAAATTTCAGTTCTTTTGATACCCACATGTCCACATCTGCCATTTATGGTTTTTAAGTTATTTTGAGTTTATGAAAAAAAATGGCGGATGCAGATGGTACCATGATAATTGATTACTTGAAAACGGTTATAGTCATGGCAATCCATTTTTATCAGTGCATAGAGAATGAATAGGGCTTTCTTTTAGTGTACTTAAAAAAAAATTAAGTTGCGTACAATCGCACCTATGGAGATCCAAATTTAAGAAACTTCAAAGTCCAAAAACTCAGTTCTTTTGAATGGAATGACCATGTTCTTACTATTGCATGAGATAGAGAATTGAAATTGGAATATTTTGATATTACATGTTCCTATAGCTATCTTTAACATTTTCTGATTTATTCCCATTTCATTGAATTGATGCCATTTTTTTGCATTTTCATTTTAGCAGTTGGCCATGATTTTATAACAATCGAATTTTAAACACATCAAGAAAAGGATTTTTTAATATCATTGATTCTAGTCTAAATAATTCATTAATAAATAAGTCATTCATTAAGGATATAGGACGGAAAATTTTTGAGAAATCTAGACAGAGTCGTTCAACTGAATTTCTTAAACAACGTATAAGTGTAAAAATTCAGAGAGGTAATGCGATATCTGTTCTAACAACAATTCCATACAAAAAATTTCAACGTAGTTTTTTATATTTTACATTGAATTTATTTTGTTAATCTTGCATTTGCAATTCAATTCATTTTCTTAAATATTCACTTGTGCTTCAACGGTTTGTAGTGCATTTGGGGATACATTTCCAAAATTCATACAATTTCGTTCCAGTGTTTGAATGAATGTACGGCAAGCATGTGCCGCGATTCTGTCCATTTCACCATAAATAACAATTAAATTCAAAAATAGGTAATTTTTCGATTTTTGAAAAACTTATGTTAACCTATAACAGTAGGTGACGGATTAGTGTCACTAGAATTGTTTAAAATTCAATTGTTATAAAATCATGGCCGGCTACTAAAAAGATAATTCGAAAAAAATAGTGTCAATTCAATAAAATGGGAATAAGTCAGAAACTGTTAAAGATAGCTATAGGAACATGTATTGTCAAAATATGCCCATTTCGATTCTTTATCTCATGCAATATTAAGAAAATGGTGATTCCATAAAAAAAACTGAGTTTTTAGTCTTTGAAGTTTCATAAATTTGGATCTCCATAGGGGCGGTCTTACGCAACTTAACTTTTTTTTAAGTACACTAAAAGAAAGGTGTATTCATTCTATATGCACTGATAAACATAGGTTGCCATGACTACAACCGTTTTCAAGTAATCAATTATCAAGGTATCAGCTGCATCCGCCATTTTTTTTCTTAAAGTCAAAATAACTTAAAGACCATAAATGGCAGATATCGATATATGGGTATCCAAAGAACTGAAATTTTACGTAGAATCCAAAAACCCAATAAAAAATTGGGGTTGCTATTTAAAATAACGAAGTTACTATCTACTTCCGGTGTTTCCGGAAGTGCGGCCATTTGGAAAGTATTTTACATCGATTCGGCCTTCAGCGTAACTCCTAAGTACAAATTTTCAAAAACCTACCTATTTTACTTTCCCAGAAACGTTTAACTAAAGCTCCCAAAAAAACACCCTGTATAGCGTACCTATGTTTATCCATTTTTAAGATGCTTTTTAAGGGTTTTCACGTCTAAACACTCATACTTTGAATGCATCCATCTCGGAAAATTAAGGAAAGTTGTATGTAGAAAAGAGCGAAATAGTTTCAATTTATAACAAGATACGAGAAATCTCATACGATATTCAGTAGAGAAATTTTTGACACTCTGTTCGCATTCGGCTCATATTCAATAGCATACTGATCCTATAACATATGGGAATTCCTTTCGGAAAATTACCCTAAAAATGGGAATATATGTAGGAATTGCAGTTTAGGCAATGTAGCGTACGGTTTTTAGCGGAATTTTTTTCGAAAAATTCCCATTATGTGATGGTTTTTCCGTCCGTCTGTTCTCATCTAACTTGAGAACGAACGAACGAACAAAACGAGAGTGTTTTTCGTGTACAGTGTAGTTCAAATTCGTGGATCACCATTGAGATCATAGTAACAGTGCGAGATACAGTGTTGCAAAATTGCCCCTTTTTGTGACTAAAAAACGCATTTGAAATTTTTGAACAATCTTTGAAAATAACTGAGATATCAGGCAAAAGAACATGTGAAATTTCGCTTTAATTTTCCCTAGCTTAAACGATCGGAAATGCAGGACGGTTCCCGTTAGCACCTGCTACGTAAGCTACGTTAGATACAGAAGCCACAGGCTACTACTTTCTTATTTCTTATAGACGCCATATTGGATTTTTACGGAGACAAGAAATTCAGGTAAATGTATCGCCATCATAGCCATGTTGATTCAGGAAGATCTAGTTATCCGTTGATCCAATATGGCGCCCGTAAGAAATAAGAAAGTAGTAGCCTGTAGATTCTACATCTAGCATGTTATGGAAATTCTGATAACAAACTCATATTTTTTGAAAAGAAGAGCCCATAAAAGATACCAACGGAAACCGTCCA